ACTCTTTCCTGCCTATGCGGGGGTCGGACTCGATGATCTATTGAGGTCCCTTCTGACCCTAGCATCTATGAATCTTATTACTGGAACTTACCTAATGGTTTTGATACACATACTGACTGATAGATCCATTACTGTTTGTTTCTTGAGCAAATCAAGGATGTACATAATATGCTAATTAAATGTCATTAAAGAAATGAAAAATTATTTTTCAATGACGCCCTGTTCACTCCCTGAGAAAATAGTTATTGTTTTCCAAAAATACTGCAAGAAAAGAAATATAAATGATATCTATTGAAAAAGTTGTTATATTTGTACACATAAGAATTCTCACTTGTGGACAAGTATGTATTTCTCATCTCACCCTCTCAGTAATTCAGGTGCTTCTCTGTATTATTAATTAAAGCTGTTCCTCTATTCTTTTCAAAACCATCATGTTCTAGTGATTCTAATACCAAAGAAGCCCCTATGGTGAATTCCTCCTGGTAGTAACTGAGAAATGAGTTAGGGTTGAAATCATGGATACTTTTGAAGTCATTTTTGTAACTGCTAAATGTTGCTGCATTTACAAGGATGGATTAATAGCAGTTGATTTCCCTGAGCCTATACATTTTATCTTCTCCTTCTTGCAAGTGGTTAATGCTAGGAAATATTAGACCCTAGCTACCTGAAATAAAGACAAAAATAAATAATTGATTGATGTTTAAATAAAACTTAGACAACAAGAATTTATTTATTTATTGTGGATCCCACTACATGGGTTTTCTCTATTTTGGTTTTAAAGCCTGATTTGTTAAAATTGTATGTATGAATTTAAATGTCACATAGAAACATCATAGAATCATAGGAAATTAGGGTTGGAAGAGACCTCAGGTGGTCATCTAGTCCAACGCCCTGCTCAAAGCTGGACCATCATCAATTAGATCATCCTTGCCAAAGCTTTGTCAAGCTGGGTCTCAAAAACCTCCAAGGATGGAGATTCCACATCCTCCCCGGGTTATCTGTTCCAGTGTTTTACTACCCTCCTAGTGAGAGAGTTTTTTCTTAATATCTATCCTAAACTTTCCTTTCTGTAACTTGTAACTCTGCTCCTTGTTCCATCATCTGCCAGCACTGAGAACAGTCTAGCTCCATCCTCTTTGAAACCACCCTTCAGGTTGTTGAAGGCTGCTCTTAAATCCCTTCTGAGTCTTCTCTTCTCCAGACTAAATAAGTGCAATTCCCTCAGCCTCTCCTAAAGTCATGTTCCCTAGCCCCCTTACCATTTTTGTT